TATATATATATATATATATATATATATATATATATATATATATATATATATATATATATATATATATATTACTACTTTAATAATTGTTTAAATATCTTACGATACGGTACGATAACGATACGATCCGAGATGTAAAGCAAAACGATACGAGATATTTTTACGATCCGATAACCATGTTTTGAAGGCCTAAACGACCTCGAAACGCCAAAATCCATCGCACATCACGGTTTGGAAAAGCTTGGCCCCACCCAATTCCGACTCCGCCACCTCTGCATCATTAAAGTTATTTAAGCATACCTCAGAGGTGTGCGTGTAATTTACCCTAATTTTATTTAATCTTAGTTAACTGTAGATTGATGTGTTTGAATGATGCATGTTATATAAATTAATTTATATTTTAAATTATTATTAGGGATGATTCAGAATTAGTATATAATTGTTCATATCTTTTATATTTAATATATTAAATTATGAAATTCCTATCAACTTAATAGATAGTTATGAATGGCATCATAGTCTTTTCTAGAAAAAAATGATAAATTAAAGGTGTCCATGCAGTAGCATGAAATTTGAAATTGTATGTAGCATCATTAAAATTTTCAAGTGTTTTATGTCTTGGGGAAAGAACATAAAAATATAACTTTTCACTTGATTTTACCTTTTTTGAGAACTATAAAAGTAATATCACATAATAAATTTTAGGGGTTTTTGTGCATAACTTCCTGACCAACCATCTTTATTATTTTGGATTCAAGGGTTGTATCTCTTTTGTCAATAAGTCTATCCCTTTAATATGTATTATAAATAGGGGTTATGACAAATAGGCCCATGACAAGGGCACTTAATTAAAAGAGGGACATCCAACTTTTTTGTCTTTCAAATAAATCCAACCCATTCAAACTTATTTGCAAGTAAGGAAAATCCCTTTATATATATACCAAAATTACCCCCAATTCATTTGAAACCCAATTTAACTCCAATTTCATGATTTACACCCCAATTTAGCCCAATTTCATCAATTACCCAATTTTAACCCTAATTTCAATTTTGACCCGCCACCACCGGAGACCACCAGTCGCCGCCGTTGACCAGCGTTGACTTTTTTTTTTTTTTTTTTTTTTTTTTTTTGAAATTTTTTTTTCCCGGAAATTTTTTTCCGGCCGGTCAACTGCCGTTGACCGCCGGGTCTCCGGCGTTGACTTTTTTTTTTTTCTTAAAAAAAATATTTTAATTAATATTACTGTCTTGACTGCTAAATTACTGTCTCCGGCAGTTATTTAACTGTCGGAGACAGTAATTTAACTGTTAATTGACTGTTTTGTTTTTTTTTTTTTTCTTCAAAAATATTTTAATTAATATTACTGTATTAGTTGCTAAATTACTGTCTCCATCAGTTATTTAACTGTCGGGGACAGTAATTTAACTGTTAATTGACTTTTTTATTCTTAAAAAAATATTTTTAATTAATATTACTGTATTCGTTGCTAAAATACTGTCTCCGGCAGTTATTTAACTGTCGGAGACAGTAATTTAACTTGTTAATTGACTTTTTTTTTCATTTTTTTCCTTAAAAAAATTATTTTAATTAGTATTACTGCCTTGGATGTTAAATTACTGTCTCCAACAGTAATTTAACTGTCTTAGACAATAATATTAATAATATTACTGTTCGGAAAAATAATATTCATAATATTACTGTCCCAAACAGTAATATTACTGTCTGAGACAGTAATTTAGTAGCCAAGACAGTAATATTAATTAAAATATTTTTTTCTAAGAAAAACAATTCAAAAAAAAAAAAAAAAAAAAAGTCAACGCCGGAGATCGGCGGTCAACGGTGGTTGACCGGCCGTAAAAAAATTTCAGGAAAAAAAAAGTTTAAAAAAAAAAAAGTCAACGCTGGAGACCGGCGGTCTCCGGTGGTCAACGCCAGAATCTGGCCGGAAAAAAAAACATTTCAGAAAAAAAATTATTTTCTGAAAAAAAAAAAGTTTTGGGGGTTAATGTGATATATTTGTTTAAATTCGGGGTCAATGTGTAATATTAAGGAAGTTATAGCATAATGGGTGGAATTGATAAGAATTATATTATTGAGGGTATTTTTGACTAAAGACATGGGAATGGGCTTAATTGAGAGACTGTTTTTTTGGTGGACCAAAATGCATTTAAGTCCCATGTGATGGGCCTTTTTGCCATTTGCCCTTATAAATAAAGGAAAAAAATAATGCATATGAAAAAAATACTCCAACCATTTGCACCTAATTATTAAATGTAACCCCAATGTAATTAATTTTGATCACAAAAATCAAATTTACATTTTTTTACTAAAATTATATTTTTGCCGCTGATTTCCGGCGTTGACTTTTTCGATTTTTTTATTATTTGTTTAAAAAAAAATTTATGTCTGCTTTTTCCGCCACCGGTTTCCTGCATATATCGCTGGTCTCCGGCGTTGACATTTCCTAGTGATTTTTTTCTTCATTTTTTTACCCCGTCGCTGAACGTTAATCGTAATTGTACTGTCATTAATAGTAATTATATTGTCACTGACCGTACATTAACGTAATTATACTGTCGTTGACAGTATATTTATGTAATTGTATTGTCGTTGACAGTACAATTATAGCGAACGACAATATTATTATTTTTGGTATTTTTTGGTTTGATTGTTGACAAGACAACACAATTATATTGCTGTCGTTGACGGTAAAAATAACTATAAACACAATAATATTATTGTCAACCACATGAATATTTTTTTTTGGGTTTTTTATTTTGTTTGAGTTGTTGACGGATTAACGTAATATTATTAATGTCTACTATTGTTATATTACTGTTAACATAATAATATTACTGTGGTTGACGGTAATATTACTGTTGTTACAGTAATATTACTATCAACCACATCAATATTAATTCTTTTGGTTTTTTTTATTATGTTTACCTTTGTTCAACGGTCAACATATTAATATAACTCTATTACACAATAATAATGACTTTTGTTATGTTAATATTATTATATTACTATGCTAGAGATTAATATAATATTATTAGGCCCCGTTTGGTTACCAAGATAAGATTAGCCTAGATAAGATTATATCCATTATAAATTAGTAAGTCTAATTATTTTATATGATGTTTGTTACAAAAAAGGGATTTCTTTGGTTAACCTTATAACACCCCCAACTACTTGAAAAATACCAAATTACCCTTTCATACTATCAATAGCCAAAAAACGTCTCTAAAGTTTACAATTAAAAAAACAAAAAGAAATATTTCTTTCACTTCAAAAATCCTCATTTCTATCAAATATCTTCGAGACATCATCATGTCCCCTCTATTTTACTTAATATTTTTATTAATAAATATAAATAATAAAAACATCAAAATTAATAAAATAAAAATAAACATAAATAATAAATAAGTAAAAATTGAATAAAATAAAAAAAAATAACTCAAAATTAAAATCCCGAAAGGAAAAAAAAATCCATGCTTAATGCATACATTTCATAACAAAATATACATTTTTCACCTGCCATAGTTTGAATTCATAACAACCTGCCATAATATTCATAACAAAATATGCATCTTCATAGTCTGAATTTCATTTCAACAATGAAGAAGATCAGCTAAAGTATGAAGTCAAAAGATACGAATTCGATTCTAATATCGAACAAATTCAACACAATGCAAACATTTGTCATTGTTTGGATTTCAATAAGCAAGATCACCTAAAATGAAAAAGTTTGAAACTGCAATGATGTGTGATCAAGGTCCCTCCGATCCTCACGTTTAGAAAATCTTCCCCTTTATCATCATTTGAACAAAAGTGGCTCGATCACGATCCGTCATGTTCAGGAACACGTTCATATTATGCGGATTGTTTGAAATTTTATGAATGATTAAGATACGAGATTCATCTCCCAATGCTTCAATCTTTCCGACTGCATCAATTACCTTTTTCGACTTTTCTGAAGCTGTATCTTGCTCGACATTGAACTTTGATATCAAATCTCCTACAACTGAATTGGTCTCCTTCAAAAAACGATCCATCACGTTGACAATTGGACCCGATGAAGATTCACTCGACTTTCATTTTTTCCCAAGAATGGACTTCTTTAATCTTTTGTCTTTCTTTGTGCTACCACGCTCAACATCTTGTGTGATTGGAACGGCATCGTCTGATGCATCCGATAACAAATTTACATATGGATCTGGTACATCAACATCCGCCTCTACATATGAATTTTTTTCCTTTTCAGAATTTGCCTCGACTGCATTTTTTTCGACAAGTTCCTGCAACACATCAACAAAACCTTGGGCGTTAAGCCCGTCTGCTCTGTCCCTACCAAAGATTTCTTTCCAATCTTCATAAAATGGAAACGTCTTGTGCCTCATGTTCTCCACATCCGGATGTACCTAAAAATTTCACATACATATTTAAAATTATAGTGTATAAATGATGAAATAAGGGAACTATGAAATTATTAAACCATATTCAGTGACATAAACGATAGTGTGTACCTTAGCGTATGATTTCCATACATCATCCTCGACTACAATCATATTACTTTCCTGCTTCCATCCGAATCCACTAGTGTTTGTCATTCCTTGCAATTGGCCATATATTCTTTTCCATACAATGAGCTTTGAAACAATGTGTTTGCTAGCAAGTAGATTACTACCACGGACCTTAGCAGCCAAAGCACTCTCCAGTGCTTGTAAGTAACCAGCCCGAAATCCATTGTCGGCCCTCCATCCATTATTTATTAACTCCTTCAGGGCAATTATCAACGCATCTTCTTGTTCACGTGTCCAAACTCTGCGACTGTTCTTTTCCTTCTTCATTCCTGGCATGGTTTGTAAGCTGTTCTGAGAGGCTTCCATATCTGAATACTACTACACAAAAAAGAAAAAAAAAATTATTGTTATGGTCAAAGTCACGGAATAATTTGAGCAACACAAGCTATAAACACAAGTTGTAACTTAGAGTCAAATAAGCACAAGTCAGAATACTTTGAAAGCAAATAAATCACAATCAATTTTCAACAACTTCCAAGTAAGTTCATCATCCAAATAGACAACAAAGATATATACTTCAACGTTGCCAAATAAACTCAAAAGGAAAATATACTATAATCTGTTACACAATAAAATCTTCCAACACCTATATTGTTCAATTTCTTCTCAATTTAAAAAAAAAATTAACCACGAGCTTGACGCCACTGATTAAACATATCATTTGCAATTGTTTCTCGGAATGCAGTCCATGCTGGTGAGGGCTCAACGACTTCAATATAGTCCCGATCGTTATCTTCATCACTGCTGCTATCACTGTCGTTGTTAGTGTCGTTGTCACTATCTTCTTCTTCTTCATCTAATGGGTCAGCCATATTACTACGAATGAAGTTGTTCAGCAACACACATGCCATAATTATGTGGTTTTGTGTTCTCACGGGATAGTATGCAGGACTCCTTAAAACTGCCCAACGTGATTTCAGATTTCCAAAGATGCGTTCAATCACATTGCGAGCCTGTGAATGCTTCATGTTAAACTATTTTTGATAGTTTTGTGGAATTCTTCTCCTATCACCCCATTCTTTCAAATGATACCTCACACCTCTATAAAGAGTAAGAAAGCCTTCGCCGTTCGTGTAACCATTATCGCACAAGTAATTGTTCCCTGAACATAGAATATATATGAGAAACGAAAATATAAAGTAAAAATCCAGAATAAAATAAAACATATAACACAATTAGCATTTGAAAACGTACACTTTTTTTTTTATATATAAGTTTATACCTGCTGGAACTTTCAAACCATTTGGCCGGGTAATTGCGTCTTTCAAAACTCTCCCATCTGCCGCAGAGCCCTCCCAACCAGCAAGGGCATACGTAAATAGCATATTTGTATCACATGCTGCAAGAACGTTTGTAGCTACCATTCCCTTCCTAGATCTATAGCGTGGTTGATCAGATAGACGAACACGCATTTCAACATATGTCCCATCCAATGCTCCGATACAACCCTGTAATAAGTCCATATATAAAAATAATCACCAAGAATGCAAACAACAAAGAGTCCATACATATATAAATTAAGTGATAATCAACATACCGGAAAACAACTCCATCTAGGTACATTGCAGTCCTCTATTATTGGAGTCGGACTTGAAAGAAGTAGGGGGTGGATTTTCATAAGTGCCTTCATTACGCTATTGACATATTTGCTAACCGTTTCCCCCGAACGTACGTAATCAAAACCTATTATTCTATTTTTTTTATGGTGTGACAATACGGCCAAAAACATAGCTACTTGTTCATGGACAGTTACATATTTTGTATCAAAAAGTCCGCCAGCATCTTGTAATACATAAGACAACCTCAAGAAAGTATTCATATCCATTCTAAAATTGGTCATAGCACTAGTATCTGACTCATACAGTAGCTCGTTCAATTTTTTTGCCCGATCAGGCATTCTGCCAATCATACTATATCTTTTCCTTTTTTAATATTTGGTTGAGCTTCGGTCCTAAAGTGTGCTCGACGGGCATAAAAAAATAAACCAATTAGAATTGCACGACGAACAATAATTTGGTGAACTAATATAAAGAATAGTAGTTCCCCCTTGGAATCCATATGCAACGGGTCTGAAAACGAAGAAGTGCAATCATTTTTACAGCAACATATTTGATTAAAGAGTATTATATAAACCATAGTAAGTAATGAATAACTTATGATTACATATTTTCATTACAATGTTGCTAATCACAGTTGATAAACTAAACACAAAAATCCAAACAAACACATTGTTGCAACAATTTTAATAATAGAAACTCAGAACATGCTTACCACTACATACTTGTAACTCTATATTCTACAACACCAAATTATTTTAAGAATAATTTTATAATTGATAAAATATTCAAAACCTAAAGCAAATAAATCAGATATATCTACAATTTGTCCAGATCATATCATCAACATTGAAGGAACTAAATACACCAAGCACTGAGAATATCATAAAATATATAAATATCACCAATTTAATTGATTATTTCATGAATAATCAACAAAATTTACTCAAAAAAATTAAATCAAGCACATAACTTTATATTTGAAGCAACCATTAACGGAAAACATATAGATTTTGGACTGGGAAAGAAATTCCTACCAAGTTGCGATTTCTGTAGTTCTTCGAAAGCGGTTGATTGAGGAGCCGAGCAATTAACACAAATTGATGAAAATATCTGAGCAAATACGCGAGCAATTTTGAAATCCCTAATTTGTGAAGTGAAGCCGACGATTTAATGGTGGAGAGAGAGAACGATGTTGGTGGTGTGATGCATCGCAGAGAAGGGTGAATTCTGCGAGAGAGAGAAATAAAGTATTATTGCGTATGAGATCTGACCAAAACGAGAAGGGCAATTCGGTCTTTAGTGGCTATTATCAGAGCTCGATTATTAAGTTGGACCTCAGGAGACCCAACTAGTTATCCCCCCATAAGCCCATATTAGCCATGATAAAACTATTTTCGCGGGTCGACCCGGAAAATAGTAAGGTTAACCAAACATCATATTAAGTCCAATTAATTAGTTAATCTTGGCAACCAAACGGGGCCTTACTGTGTTAAATTGTAGTATATTTTATATTACTCTGTTTAACAGTACTATTTTAGTCTTTTACAAACCTCTGGACAATGTACAAACTTTTTTTGTAAAACAGGTTTTGGTATGGACTACTTTATAAATAAGTACTCCTTGATGGACTTATTTGTAATGTCCTCTAAAATCTATGATGTTTTAGTTTGATTAGATATTTTAATTTTAGATTTACATATTTATTACATTTTATATTTATAATATTAATTTGGGTTTATTTGAGATAACTCCTCACTAACCTATATAATATGGGATAAGTCCAAGTATTTTTTTTTGGGCAAAATGGCAAAGATGCATATAGCAAGGGAGTTGAATGCACATTGATCCAGACAAAAAAATGTGTTCCAAATAAACCCATCTACATGTTTTTTTGTCTAAAATAACCAAGTATTCTAAATATCGGTTGTGGCGGCAAAAATACACATTGATATAGTAAAATTATAGGTCAAGATGATAAAATTAATTAATACAGTAAAATTACTGTCTCAGACAAGGCAATAATATTGATTAAACTATTTTTTTTTAAGAAAAAACAAAAACATGTTTTCTATATAAAATAAGTCAACGCCGGAGACCAGCGGTTGACCTGCCGGATTTTTTTTTCTTCAGAAAAATAAGTTTTCAAAAAACAAAAAAGTCAACGCCGGAGAACGGCGGTCTCCGGCGGGGGTGGGTCGAAATTGGAATAGTGGTCGAAATTGGTTAATTTGTGAAATTGGGCTAAAGTGGGGTGTAAATCATGAAATTGGAGTTAAATTAGAGTTTCAAGAAATTGGGGGGTAATTTTGGTATATATAAAAGGGTTATCCTTATTTGCAAATAAATTTGACTGAGCTGGAATTATTTGGATGACAAAAAAGTTGGATGTCCCTTTCTTATTTAAATGCCTTTGTCATTGGCCTCTTTGCCATTCACCCCCCCTTTTTTTTTTAATGTTTTTGAGAAAAAAACATTTTTGTAAGTTTCGTTTGATATCAAACTCAAATAATTTGTTTTTACCATTTTCAAACTCTAATTAGAGTTTGTTTTATCTTATTTTTTTTTTTTAATTATTATTATTTTTATTTATTTATTACTAAAAAAATAAGCTCTAATTAGCTGACTTATAACTACTTAACTTCAATATTTGTTGATATTCCATCTTTTTGATTCTTTTTTTTTTTGTTCTTTTTTTTTCCTTTCTTTCATGCGATGGGTCGTCGGAGCTTTGATTAGTTTACTTGCATTAGCTTTTGCATTAGCTGACGACGGATTAGCTGACGTTCAATTATTTTTCTTTTAACTTTTCTTTTTTATTATTTTCCGGTAATAGGGAAGTCGGGGCTCTGATTAGCTGACTATGCATTTGTTGAGTTCGTATTAGTTGACTTTGCATTAGCTGACATCCGATCTTTTTTATTTGTCTTTTCTTTTAATTCTTTTTTCTCGGCGGCGGGTCTTTAGGGCTCTAGATTAGCTGATTAAGCATTAGCTAAACACCTAATTTTTTTAGAGTTGAAGTTAGCTAATTGTAGCTCAAATGATTCACCACTAGATAAAGGAACAAAAAGTTCGAATGTAAACTAATGTTGAAGTGAGCTAATGCGAACTCAACTAATGCAAGTCAGTTGTCAGAGTTCCGATGATCTGCCACTGGAGGAAAAAAAAAAAGAGAATAAAAAGGATAAAAGTATAAAAATGAGTGTCAACTAATGTTGAGTTAGCTAACCAGAGCTCCGACGATCCACCGCCGAAAAAAATTAAACGACAAAAGAAAAAAAAAGATGGAATGTCAACCAATGTTGGTTAACTAATGTTGACTCAGCTAATCGGAGCTCTGACGACCCAGACCACCGAAAACAATATAATTTTTTTTTTAAAATGGATTGGGTCTGACGGGGTTGGACCGGACATGGTGGGCGGGGGGTGACTTGGGATGGGTGTGGGTTGGGCTTATCTCTAATAGAATATGTACAACTATATTGGGAAGGGAAATATACAATCCCCTGAAACCAAAAATATTATAAGGTAAACCATTTGACTTTCAAGACTTTTGCCCACACCCAAAGTTCAATCTTAATTAGTGAAACCCGCTCAACAAATGTGATAAGACGAAACTACACTTATTAATCGTTTTTAAAATAATTAAAATATTTATTTTCTATAACCGTCTCACGTGATTGTAGGATTACATTGATTCTCCCTTTATCTCTCTCTCTCTCTCTTTTTTTTCTTCAGATCCATAAACCGCCACCGCCGCGCTCCTTAATCCAAATTTACACCGATGGAGACCACTCAGTCGCACACGGCACCGGCGCCGGCTTCCGATTCACCTTCCGAAGAGTAGACGAAAAAAGAAGAGAAAACTCAAATTTTTGAGACGTAGCAGTTTTCGCGCATAGGCCAGATCGAAAGATCTAACCGTCGGATCGGGTTGAAATTTTTATACAAGATTCATAACACATAAATATACCTTCTGAACGGTGAAGATCGGAATTAAACTTCTCTAAATATAGATCGTATCTTAAAACTCGTTGCTATTTTTGTTAGAGAATACTTCGGGGCAGCTAGATTGGACGCGTTTTCGTGCAATTGAACCGTTGGTTGTGGCCGAAATTTGGATAGAATATTCTTAACATACATTTTATATTCTATACAGAGGAGATTGAATTTGATGCCTCCTAGCTCCGGATATAAATTGTGAAAGTATCACAATTCGGTGAGATTTTTTTTCATTTTTTACTCTTCACTTTTAGAGATTTCCTGTGGCACCCCTTTTCAAATTACACTTAGTAATTTAGAATATGCTAGCGGAAGACTTTTAGAAAATAACGAGTGTGAAATACTCGTTTTGAAAATCACCTTATACAAATAGAAAGTTACGCATAACTTTTTTTTTTTAAATCAAAGGAAGAGTGTCCACATATTACCATATCATATACACTTAACCAACTATCACAAAAGAGGCATGCATGACTAGTAATTTAAATTATCAAGAGTAAAGAGAGGAGTTTCGGACAGATTAGGTAGATCAACTTAGAAAATTAATTTATCTTAAACCCTTCATGAAAAGTCTTTGAAAATTTAACCACTTACTCTCATATGGGTCTAAATCCCTCCTATTAAACAGTTTTAAAATATGAGTAGTAATTTGAGAGAAATAATTAAACACATGCAACTGTACAGTTTGAAAATCCAGAACATGGGAGGGAGCTTTGAAAATTCTTTATAAATTCCCTACAACTCTAAACACTACCTAATTTTATAAAAATGCAGAAAATTGAGTTAGGAACATACTCCAAGTTAAATGTAAGCATTCGAGTAAGAAACATTTCACATATTGATGCTGCATGTCCTAAAGTAACTCTGCATGTGTACAGTTATGGAAATTAATTCATACTAAATTCATGACCTATCCAAATGATGCAAAAGACCTACCAAAATTACCGTGACACAAAGTCGTATGATACTAGAAAATTACATGCAATTCTAAATAGAAGGTATTTTATAGGCATGATCAAACAAGACATAATTAACCGATAAACATTATATAGAAGTTTGGCAAAAAGAAGAAATCATAAATCCTAATTATTATTAGATGTAATGTTCTTACTAATAAGAGTTCCGGGTGGAGGAAGAGTACGATAATAGATACCTAAGACGGTATTGAAAGTCTTTAAACTTAAACTATATAAGTGAAACCACATAACTAGATTAAGAGCACACAAGATCTACACGCTTTCCATATGAACACATCCCTCGATCCTCGAACCCGACTCCAACTTTACGACTCATTCTCGGGGTTGAAAGTACCTACAAGCATTTCAACACCTATATGCTATTTTGGACTCAATAAGAATTTCTAAAGAAATACCAAATACACATAGGCAAACAAGCATATATTTATGATATGTATATATGTATATATACCATCTCAAATCACACATACACACAACATAAACATTTTGATTTTACCTCAATCGTCATTTCATTGAGGAACTTTACTAATTTACCTTTACCTTCTCGGTTTACCTCTTAGACCTTCTCGTTTTACATCTTAGACCTTCCTTTCATCATTTCATAAGGAATAAGAGTAAATCCCTTACAAGAGAGTCGTTATTATTTTACACATACATTCATTCAAGTGCTTATACAATGTGTGAGAAAAATATTTTTGTTCGGATATCCTTTGGAAAATCAAGGAAAACATTAGACAATAAGCCTTCATTTATTTGGAACCCGTTACATAAGTGGAATCAAACCACACACTCTTCATCTCATTTTTGGGGTACCGGTCCATCATACCCCGTGCTTATTCGATCTAAGTTTTACAAGATTTCCCAACTTTAAAAACGTGCAAGTGACGTTAGTATATATTCTTCATTTCACATATTCAAAGTTAGCTTTCACATAGGCACACATATTTCCACATATTCACAAATGCACATAGTTTAGTCTCAAAATCACAAAAGCAAGTAAGACACATAACAACTCAAGCAAAGAACATAGATCACATAGTTTACACACATAACAAAAGTAGCTCAAAGCATTCGGTTATTTATAATTACTATCTCCAAGTTTCATTAATTAAAGTTCAAGCCATCTTTCTCAAGAGACTTGAAGTTTTCTTTCAAGTAGCACCAAATTTCCATTTATTTCATTTTCTTTCCAAAATATTCGAACCATCAACAATTCTATCACATAAAATTTCATTTTTATTAATCTTATTCTCGGTTCTTATCTTCGTATATTATCTTATTACTCATAGATCATAACCATCGATCGTAAGCTTTCTCGACACGAAGGGAGTACACTTACAACCACGTAGATCGATATATATACTCATAGAAACGAAACATATACTTTTATATAACACATACAGATTATAAATAAACCATGGATCAAGTACTTTCTTCGACCA